CGGTCCCCACCAAATTCTGCGCACTGGCTCGCCACCTGATGCATCGCCCCTTTTATTTCACCGGAGACGTCGCTCGATCCACCGCTCAGCCGGCTCTAGCCAGCGTTGTCTGCACCACGGACCAGTCCCTTGGAAGTTGATGCTTCGAGATCATGAAGCCCTCGTCATCTTGTGTGCTATGATACCAGTGCTTCTGCCTACTTTGACTGTACTACAATGATACTAGCTCTCGAGAACACATGTTGTTTGCGAGCCTTTCTCGCTGAGCGCCTCGCTCACTCTGCTGGCTTTTTGCTCGGCCGGAGGACAGTGTCTCGGAAATCCGCGACACGCACGTCCTGATTTGCCACATTCCATGCGAGGTTGCATCGTACAGCCTCCAGTAGTGAAGGCACGCCCTGGTCCGCTTGGTCGAGAGCGCCTCGGGGTAAGACTATCGTCATACTCGGTTTCATCTGGCCCTTGTTTCCCAGTCGACGAGACTTTGAGCGACAACGCCGTGATACGAACCAATGGCGAAATTGCCGCATTCTTTCCTAGTGTCAATCAGTGCCAAGTACTGCGTCACGAGGCCGACGATGGTCCATTTTACAGATGGCCTCTAACCAAGCGTATAGATGAGCAACTGGAGACTAGGCTGACGGCCATAGTGGAGCCAGGTTACAATAGGACGCCACCAGGTGTGCGGAAGCTTTTGCCGATGGCCTTCGGTCCCTTGTTGTGCAACCGGTGTGGCTCCACGGCCTTGGATGAAACGGCTCGGATTGAAGGAGGTGGACCAACTCCTCTGTGCGGCCAAAGGCAATCCTCGTCTATAAAGGAGTTGGCAATCCTCTTCGAATGCTCAATCAGACAGAAACCCATCAATATCCCCTCTCCCTCCCCCCTCGCCTCTGCTCTGTATCCCATACCCCCGTATCTCAGCGCCCCATTCTTATTCAGGTTCAAAACTACATCTGCAGGATTCTTCTGGCTATCCACCTTTCTCAACATGTCAAGCACCAATTTTCGCCTGGAATCATTTCGTCCATGGAATCCTTTCCAAGACAAAGCTCAGCCATTGCGCGATCCCCCCGGTACTTGTCGCTACCCAAGTCCGGTCTCGATCACTACCACCCCGCCAAGCTCCAATTCTAGCGACTATGGCTCAAAGAGCCAAAATATTCATTCCCACAAACCTGAGCGACACCCCCTTCCTGCCCGCCCGCCGACGGAGGTCTGCTTAGATGGATTGCATTCGGAGGCTCAACCCACTCGACGAGAATCGGAGGGCTTGGGTCAGACACTTTCCGCTGTCAGTGACCCAGAGCCTCTCAACTTCGAGAACATCTTGCAACCACAAAGCATAGTTGGTGCCGATGAAGTCGTTTCTACAAATTTTGCCGATGAATTGCACTGGGAAACAGAGCATCATTTCCTCGACTTCGGATTGGATGACTCGCATCCTGTCGATTTTGCGGGCCAGCGTTCTCAAATTGCTGATCTTGGAATCCCTACTCAAAATGGAGAGCTTCCAAATTTTGAAACTATCGATCCTGCAATCCTGAATGACCATGCATCTGCGGTTGCCGAACAGGCTCAGAGAACTTTGAGTATCGCCGGCATCGCAACGCATCCGGAAGAATTTCCCGCGGAGTCCATTCGCTCTCAGAACAAAGTCTCGTCCCTCCAACACAGACGGAATTCAAAGGGGATGGTGGATACTGGGTGCCAAACCTCAAAAATAAAAAAAGGGTCGGGTTCGAGACAAAGGCATACAAGAAATGGTTCTGCTCGACCTAAGAAAGGTTCCGGTCATCGTCAGAGCATATCTTTCCCTACAGTTCGTGCCCAGTTTTCGGCCCTTTCAGTCGAAGACCGACTACAGTTCCTGTCCTGGCTTTTCGAGGGTGCGTTAACTCGTTGCTCTTCCGCGCCCTCCAGCGCTGCTGGTGCTTCTCCATCAAGCCAATGTGACGAAATAACCGACGACTGTGATCACACGAGCTTGAACACTCAGGTGGTTGACGCGGAGCATACCTCTTTGAGGAAGGGACTACCGTGGTCTGTGGAGGAAGATCACCTTTTGATAAAGCTAAGAGACAAGCAAAACCTCGCTTGGCCGGAGGTGGTCAAGCAATTTTCACGAGAATTCCCCGGGCGGACCGAGGGGTCAATGAAAGTTCACTGGAGCACAGCGCTGAAGAAAAGGCGATCTTACCCCATTGTTCTTATTCCTTGATATATTAACATTGAGCCATCACGGATAGAAGCATCTAGAATGTTTGAAATATTATGTGTGGGGTTGCTCATTTGCATGAGATGTATAGGAGAAAGACATGCTAAAGTGATATAATGTAGCAACGCATAGGAAGTCAGGTTCGTGGGGCCCAGGGCTTTGGAATTTGTTCGGTCATCGAATTTTATTTGTCTATCGAGGTTGATTGGCTGTATATTGTAGAGGCATACAGGCTCTCAGGCTGGAACAATCTCAACGCGCCCAACCACTCGAACTTAAGGAGATTTTCGAGGCGCTGGATACCTGGACTTGCGAGTATTCAGAATGGCGCATTAATGACAGACAAGATGGTTGATTCTGAGGGCTATGTATTGCATGTTACAACACAGTTCTTCCGGTATGTTCAGATTTACCATACATGACATGTGGGTATGGGGATGGTGCTGAATGACCATGTACGACAATACAATGCGGGGAACTCACGGTATTTTACCCCTCATCTGAAATGACATATACTCGGGCGGCTCAGGGTAGATTCAGGGTAGATTCAGGGTAGGCTCAGGGTGAGCTCAGGGTAGGCTCAGGGTGGGCTCAAGGTGGGCTCAGGGTGGGCTCAGGGTAGGCTCAGGGTAGGCTCAGGGTAGGCTCAGGGTAGGCTCAGGGTAGGCTCAGGGTAGGCTCAGGGTAGGCTCAGGGTAGGCTCAGGGTAGGCTCAGGGTAGGCTCAGGGTAGGCTCAGGGTAGGCTCAGGGTAGGCTCAGGGTAGGCTCAGGGTAGGCTCAGGGTAGGCTCAGGGTAGGCTCAGGGTAGGCTCAGGGTAGGCTCAGGGTAGGCTCAGGGTAGGCTCAGGGTAGGCTCAGGGTAGGCTCAGGGTAGGCTCAGGGTAGGCTCAGGGTAGGCTCAGGGTAGGCTCAGGGTAGGCTCAAGGTGGGCTCAGGGTGGGCTCAGGGCAGGCTCAGGGTTGGCTCAGGATTGGCTCAAGGTGGGCTCAGGGTAGGCTCAAATGATCCAGCGCCTCCCTCCCTCCTCGGTAGGTAAATCAATGGCCATACATCCATCAACGAAGAACCATGACGTTATCCTCGCGTCCCCGCTGCTCAAAAATCTCGTAGCAAAAAGCATAAGAGATAGAGAAGATTTACAAGTGGATATCATACGGCTGAGCTTTTGAAGCTGGTTAGAGAATATGGGCGAGCCTTCCACTGTGCAATCGTCATGGGAAAGGATAAAAGTTGCCTTCAATACTCCTATTGGTAGCTGACTCGGAGACGAAAATAGAATTGCGAAGAATCTCGGGTGTGTCTTGGAATAACGCAGAAGTCGGATATCTGGAGAGCCTTGACAATAAGTATCATGCGAGGTGATCAATGATGTCGCATTCTTTGAGAGAGAAAATCCCCAGACCAGATGTGCGACTATCCTATCAAGCCAGTTAATTACAGTAAAGATGGACTTACCCAATGCGGTGCCGGCGGGTCAGTTCTCTCCATGGACAAGCGTGTCTGACGTTTTTGATGGAAGCATGTATCCCTAGCATGCCATACTTTTCTCTAGCCAGAAAAATAGCGGCAGCAAGGGGTTCGATTTAGATTTTCTCATCAAAGTCGAGATGCTCTGATGAGTTTTTAGAAAACAGAGGAGCGATCTATTTTTACGATTTCGCATATGAATTTAGCAAAGTTGAAGCTGAACCGATGACAACGGCCCTGTCGGGGCATTCATGAGTTCTTTGAGATCATCACTAGAATGGTGGTGGAAGAGAACCTCTTTTCTTCAGCACATGGTTTTATTATCTTTGTGAGGGTCGGGCCTAGTATGAAGTGGCAGATTGACAGAGGAAACAATGAGGAACCAGCGGATGTGATGGAACCTAAAGAAATATTGGTGTTGAATTATTTGAGTGTTTTCAATATTCCTGTCAAAGGGCCATGGGACCTCTAACTCTAGTCACCAACAGCAAGCAGACCCCAGCTGTGAGAGTCTCACGTATACATATATGAGAAAAGTGTCTTCCAGATAAAGAGTGAATATCAATAAAAGCTATATTCGAGTCTTAAAAGACATAACGCGAGAAAGCAAAAGAGACAAGTTTATTCGCGTTCAGAGGAGAGGGATCCAGATACACCATATGGGTCCCGAAGATCATATCTCTATACATCCTGTGTGCCCCATATATATCCCTAATAGCACCTGATGCAACTCCTAGGATACTCTTCTTGTCTTTTGCAAATTGAGAAACCTCTCTGCTAGGCCTTGAGAATGTTGGCAGTTCCAGTGTTTGGTCAGCGATCGCACAATGTGTCTTTCAGCCAGCTGGCGTATGGTACAGCCCAAGCACCAGCGATCCGTCACAGCTCTACGAGGCATTCCCGGGGTTCTACCGCGAGACTCTTAGGATGCATGATCGGTACTGTGGAGAACATTTTGATTACTCCTAGAACGAGAGAAGCATTTCCTAGGAGCTTCTCCTGGATCCACAATCCAAGTGTAATCATCACCAAACATGGCGGCAAATTTAATGTGGAATAGTTCGTGTATAAGTAGTGCTTCTCTTTCGTGCGAGCCTCCACTATTTCACGCATAACTTCGCATTATTTCGAACGTACAGCCGGTGCACTCAATTTTCTGCGTTACAGTACCACCATCGCACCACCCACAAGCACCGCGAGTCATCTGCCACCAGTGGTTGTACCCACGATTGCGAATAGTCGCCACACATCTTTTTCAAGAGGTCCAGACTAAAGGTCTGTGCATTCTGCAGCTTTTTCTTCAATTCCTCCACTATGTCTCTTCGCTCCTGTCGGCCATGCCATACTTCGAAAATCCGATGCACCCGTGAAGTTCCTCATTGCCAAACTTGCGTCAAGCGAGGTAAGTGCTCGATGTGCGTCTATGAAGCAAGCGTCCCAGACCGCAAAAGAGTGTCAGACCGGAAGCCTGCTCTTCCAGAGCCACAGCCAAAGCGGCAATTGCAAAAGCAAGAACGAGCATCTGGCGAGAAACACATTCGATGGAGAGCTATCGAGCCGCAACCCGAACAGTCTTTGCGGCACAAAAAGAGAACAAATGAAAGGATGCAGCACGCCATAGAGCCTACAAAGGAAGTAGATAACAAGGTTTTGGATCAAAGGTATTCTGGGAAGGACGGTTTGGCAGCTCATGAGACGCCCCCAAAGAGTATCGCGACTACAGTTACGGAGAAAGCTTCGATTTTCCAACCAGAATATGGCCGTGCAGCCGATGAAGATATCCTTGAATGGCCGCGAAGCATATCAGTATCACAGCCAGCACAGCTCTATGCACAGATGACCCCTCCGGTAATCAATAATAACCTACGAGAAAGCCAAGATCTCAAGGCTGACTGTTGACAAGACCTCTTTGCCTCCACGACCGAACTTCAATCTTACAATATCCGAGAGACACAGTTGCGGCCCACATACGACCCACCAATTGTTGTTGGTATTGAGCTACCTTTTCATCTCTTCGATGCTTCCTATGGATTTAGGGGCTCTGTGGAAGGTCATATGTCGCCGTGACCGTGACTGGGAAGAGAGCTTTGTCTTGCAGCACGGTCAGCTTCAAAGGTGGCTGATCAGTGCGCGCAACGTTTTAACCAAGTCTGACGGGCTGCACACAGTAACATTGGCAGACATAGAGCTCCAAACAAGATATATTCTTTTCGTTATTGGGCAATATACATCCCCTAACTCGAGCTTTCTAGCTGAAACCTTCCAAAGCGAGCACCCTCCGTACCGGCCGTTTGGGGCGAGGGCAAGCATCGCGCTAATTTGTCTTGTCTTTGAGGGGATTCGGGTTGATGAAATGGAAGGATACGAATCAAAGGAAATATGGACACGCGACAAAAATTTCCTGATAATGATGGCATCCCGGCTGAAGGAATCGCCGTTGTTTGGCCCTGAAGTTTCAATGCTCCATTTGCAGTCTATGATATTAAGCCTTCAGAAGGCTTTCCAGTGTGAAGAGATTCGGGTTTCCAGCACGAAGTTCTGGACTTTGAGGATTGAAAGCCAGTTAGAAGTGTTGGGATATTATCGACGGGCATTTCTGGCTTTCGACCCAACACTATTGCCAAAGATTTTGGCCTCATTGAGCAAAGCTGAGGATATCACTCACAGCACTGGGCAGAACCAGCTTACCAATATGGAGAGGTGCTTGGACAGAAGTAAGTAAATCGACCTTCAGGCTGATCCAGCGTTTAACATAAGTACAGCCAATTTGGCTTTGCGGCTGGCCAACATTTTCACTTCACTTGCGCTAGATCGTTTGGACGCCGCTTTCCAAACTATCCACGAGATTCAACAGTCAAAAGCTGATAAAGTCGTCGCTATGGAGATGATGCATGTCAAGTCATTCGAAGAAGCATACAAGTTGAACAGAATTGGTAAGTCCTCGTAATTTGAATTGTAACAAAGAAATTTCTAATAGTTGCAGAGCCTACCGTTATTCGTGTTTTTCATGTTTCACCCTGAAAGGAACAGCGGTTATCGGAAACCCAATATATCTCTTTTAATGCTCTTTTGAAGAACCAGAGAGTGGTGGATAAACACGACTGTGTGAACGATGAGGCTTTTGTATTGAAATGAACATGGGCAAAGCCCTACGCGCTGGGAACGAGACTATAAACCTGATTCTCATGGGTTACAATGCAATTGTTTCTCAAAATGGGACTTGATCCGATTTCTTATCTGCCCCGGCGATTTAGTCTCAAAGCACATAACAGTTGTCAGCGTCCATGGATTTTATGATATCGGTCGGTTGACAACTTCGGCATCATGTGCGTTATTCGTTCACGTGAAAACCCCGACCAGCTGTTACGGGCCCGAAAGAAAGGCTTCGCAGACGCTTAATATAAACGCTTCAGATTTGAGGCATAGTCAGTAGGGCTGCAAGAATGAAAATGAATATGAATATGATGTGTTCGCCAAAAGAGAGAGAGAGAGCTTGGGATTACCTTTACCAAGGTTAGGCTAGAAATGTGGCTGCATAATCCACAGTGTGGAAGGGTCTGAAGTTCTGATCCATATCAGAGATTGAGTTGACAGTGAGTTGATTCCCGGATCCATGTAGCCCCCAAGAAACCTGATGCAGCCTCTACAGCCTCGTGCCTATTTTTTGAAAAATAAAGCTATGTTCCTGCTGACGGGTTCACTAACTCCTCTGTGAGGCTCTCACGTATGCATTGAGGTGGATAGCGTCTCAAGATAAACAATCAATATCAAGAGCAGCTAAATGTAGTCAATCCTAGATACAAGCCGTAGCGCAAGGAAGCAAGAGAGAGAGACTGCCTCACACTCATCTCATCTTTTATGCTTCGCGTATCACCCTGGCACCCCTAAGCTGCGTGTCCCTGGGCCATTTGTAAACTCCACTTGCCATAAACGGTATTGTTGACGGAATTCACTGAATGAGGGTGAACGCGGTGACTGAACACTGCGATGAAAAGTGATGAAAATGTGATTAAATTCGTTACATTTTTAAATTTTTAAATGAATAAACTCAGCCATTCGTATAGAAAAACCAGGTGAAAAATTTCCGTATCAGTAAGAGAGGGGCACTGTCTAACTAGTATATGTATAGAGCCATGTTTAAACACTCGATCGATATCACAAATTGCGGTTCATATTGTGGAAGTCCGTTCCCCTGTCATATTCACCGCCACCCGATTTCAAATTACCGACTAGAGGAATGAGTACGGAATGGGGCTCACGCTCAATTCCCCTTGATTAGAGAAAAGCAAAGAACTGAAGAACCAGCTAAATAATGTAAGTCCAATAAGAAAGTCATCGAAATCAATCTGTGCATATAAGTATGGCTTCCTCCTGATGTTGACCCGCCTTAAACTTTATGGATTTCCCCTTCACACCTCAATTACCTATTTCACTCCCAAATCCCCAAGTCAAATTGATAATCTACTCCCAGCAGCCTCCATAATGAAGTCTCTCACTTCCCTTTTGGTGATGACTACCTCTACCATCGCGGCAGCCGTCGCCAGTTCTTCCTCCGAGCACTTCCACCTCAAGTCCAGCGGCGCCACCAACCAAAAGCACAACAACCTCTATGTCTATGCATACCATACGGGCTCAGGCCTCAGTGATGCCGCGCTGACCAACGATGTGAACACTGCTAGCTCTGTTTACCTGAACGGCACAAATGCCCTCTTCGACTTCAACACTAAATTCCATTGGGGATTCGTGGTCACCAGCAACACCAAATACGCCTGTGAGCACCCGTCCTGGAAAGTCGCATACTAATTTGAATGTGATCTAACAACAGTTTCGTCCAGACTGGGATCCGATCTTGATAAACGCAGGCCAAAGTAGTACTGGATTCTCAGTCAAAGGCAACAACTTCCTGTGGTCAGAAGCCAGCGGCTTCGGTGGATGGCTCGGTAAGATTCCGACATCGTTACTCTTCCCCAAAAGGCGATCTCATCCTAATATTCAATAGTCTGCGACTGGAACCACAATGCGCCCCAGCTGTTCTACTTGAACCGCTACTATGACGCCACTATCCCCTCCAGCTGCAGCAAGGTCCAACTGAAGGCCGATAACATCAAATATCTACGGTAGCATTGGACTTGATCGCTTTTTATAGCACTCAATGGTTGGCTATGACTTGATGTCCACTAGCTATTAGCGATTTGGAGCGAAGATGAATATGAAAGTACTTTGAATTCAAGCAAGGCTTGTTTCTGCGCTATGTAAATTCTGCTAGTGACGCAGTGATGTCATAGTAAAAACCACATTCAGAGGAAATAAAAGGTGTGATGCTAAGGCAACGCATCATATCATGATTGGATTGACTGACTCCACCTTGGAGATTGGAATTCACGTTCCCGCTAACCACTCTACCAGTGCTATGAACACAAATCTTGGCCCCCAGAGCTCCCCCGCTCCCGGAATCTCTGGTACGGTTTCTGGGAACTTATAAGCAGCTTCTAAGAGTGTCAGGGATATACATGAAGTATACAGGATGTTTGGAGAAATGATCTGCGGGACCCACATGGTGCATACGGGTTCCTCCGAACGCGAGGAAGCCTATTCCTTTTGCTTCCTCGCGCTACGTCTTGTATCTAGGGTCGATTATAGCTTTCTTTAATATTGACTATTCATATAAGTATATGTGAGATCTTCACAGTCTCTTTCGGCGATCCTGGGAACTGAAGTTCGTTCCAGGATATACGCCAAGAGCCCCAGGAGCGAGTCGACTCCTGGGGCCAATGATTGCATTCCCAGCTCCGGTTTCGTCATCAGCAAGAAAGAACATTTAATGAGGTACGGGTAGCAGTTTTCTCAACAGGCAAATTCTCTCGTTCATGCAATGAGAGGCGTCGCAAGGATTTGCAAGATTTGATCTAAAGGGCGAATGCGGGCAGACCTGATTTAATTGAAACTCACATCTCTAATCATATGCTACGTTGAAAGGGGAACTTGAAAGCAAAGTCAACGTCGTCCAAAAGATTCCATTCGTATCTGTCTAACACCCTGCCATTAAACTGCGTGTTTGGCTCGAGATTATACATTTTCTTCCACAAAACAATTGAGATATGGGCATCCGACTTCAATTCCATCGCCGTATCATACTCTAAAAATTTGATCGTGTGGGGCTCTCCTGAAGCGTCGATGTAGGGGAGGGTAGAGGCGGGCTGTATGTGTTGATAAAGAGCATCCCAATCGATTTCAAAGAAAGAATCTTTTACGGTACACATGTGTTTCGACCATAGAATCTCCATTATAAAATACAATGTCTCGAATATACGCCGGTGCCCTTTTACCAAATCACCGGCATGCTTGTATTGGGGTCTCTGTACATGTATAGTTCAATCAGACGCCTCTTCTACTTTCATTGAAGGTCTCAGAATCTCGATAAACAGAAAATTGTAGAGCTCACTGCCATTATAAAGAAATGTCACAAAATAAGCCAATATATAAACCCAATGTATCTTCATGGTCACAAGTTCAGAAATTGAGTGTTCACAACTATGGCGAAGCTTCAACGGGTTGACCGACCGTGACCTCGCTTTTTGCGGTCTAGACGGACAGACCCACAGCTCAACACATCCAGCACATCACTCAAGCGAGGCGGGGAAAAAAGTCCATGATTTCGAGTGCAAAATTGTAGGCGCTTTTCGGTGATTCAACATTGAATCGCTCACAGGTGAGGCATCAGAACAAGAAATATGAGCCTGCTATTGCGGATTGAATAATATTCAGTGCCTCAATATTAGAGAGGTAAAGAATTCAACGATCAGCCAACGTTTCTTGACCAACTAAGCATCCTGTTCTTCAACACGACTCTCACTCGTCTCTCTCGCTGAGAATCTAAAGGCAAAAGATGTCGCTGCAAATAGTTGCGGTAAAAGAAAACGTGGGTTTCAACAGGCCTCAATTAGACAGGTGTCCTTCAATACTGCCCACCCAGCTTGTGACTGACAGAAGCCGAGAAGCTTATAAATACTTCTTCTAACCCCAACAACTTGCTCTACGATTTATCCCCTTGACTTTGCAAAATCGAGCAGGCTTGTATCTGAGTCACTTGATAGATTTTCCCCCATTGATCCAACACTGAACTTCCCACTGTACTGACATTTATAAGATACATCGTGGATAAGCAAGCCAGACAGTGCCTGTGAGAGATACAGGTATGATTCCCACCAGATGCACTGCCATTCACCCCAGCCGATCAAAGAGATAAGTCTTAGGCTGGCGGGTCCAAGTGTCTATGCGAAGATGTCTCCGTCACAGCAGCCGTCTGAACTCATCTACTGTACAGCCTCTGTGTGCGTCTTCCCAAGAGACAGCGCAAACATCCGCGTCGCAGGTATGTGATTCTCAGCCTGACTTGCCCAAATTCTACTGATCATGCAGACGATGCGATTTCAATAGAACCGAGGACAATTGACCACAATACGCGAGCGCAAGAGTCACAGCTCTTTACCGTCTCTTGGTGCCTAGTCTTGGCCACCAGAGCATGTGAGTCATGGATTATGTCGCCGATCTACAAGCTAATGAACGATAGTGAACATCGACATTGCACCAGAAGTCCCCGAGGATACAGCACCCCCGTTAGTGCTCTGCACAAAGCCACTACCTACACACTATTCATGGCCCCGTCGCATCAAACCACGCAGCAAAGAATCAGGTGAAGAAGGAACGGGCTAATAACAGGTGCGGACATCCGATCGCGAGCTTCGCTGCGCAGAAGCTTGAGACGTCCATTCTTCATAACAATGTGAGTGATTGATCGCATCCTCTGCTGCACTATATCAGTTGTTGCGAGTTTTTGTGCTCCAAATCACCAATACCATTACTGATTTTCATGCCACTGTAGGAGCAGCCATCGCCACTGTGAAAGATACCCGTTGAGAGTCCTATCGCCGGATCGGAGATAAGACC